TGTTGAAAGGTAATAGATGTCTTCTCCATTTTGGCACCATTGAAAGTGTGGATAGAAGAGAATGCACTGATCACACTTCTCTTTTGTCTGAGATATCTCAAAGTGCCTAGAAACTTATATGACATATATATCAAAGTAAAAATAATACCAGAGAGTTTCAATCAGAACAAGGGCAAGAAAGAAATGTCAAAACAAGTGTAAACACAAGAATGAGTCTGCTGAGGAGACATTGATAGGTTAGAGTATTACTTTCCTGCTTTAATGAAACTTTCCTTTACATAATTCGTCGCAAACCACATAAAAATACTTAATCTAATTTCTTTCCCTTCACAGCATCTACTCACCACTTTACACAGAGGCATGGAAGTAATACTGAGAAGCAAAACTCTTCTTTCTTCCCTTTTCACGGGATTTTTTTAAGCTGTTTGGTATTCCTTTGAAGACTACAGCAGTTTACATGCTGGATATTTATCATTGGTGTGGAGGGTGAAACACTAACTGCACACTGTACTCCCTGCCCTTTTAAAATATTGATGAGCAACCATCTATGGAGCCTCATAAATTAACTCTTTAAGCAAGGAAGATTTCTGCTTAACAGCATAGCACAAATTCTATGTGATTTAAATCCCCCACAATCCAAAGAGTTTTAAGCTGTTTATGTTAGTTCAATATCCAATATTAACACCTAGTTTTGAAACCTCAAGTCAGCAATATTGCTCTATTGATCCAGCAGGACAGTGTGGGGATATTCAATAGGATATTCATAAATGAAGTCTGCATCTTGAACTTCAATGTTTAATCCTTTTATTTGCTTCCTAATATTTTCAACTTCCAGTTTACATACTGCTTATCAGGTTAGCTCATGTTGGAACAGCTTCTGCATCTCCTGAATTTGAAGATAATGGTTTGCATTTCCCTGAATATTGTCCAGTGGGTAGTCAGTGTGTGAAAGTGTCAGACTGAGACTGACTCATTTATTTTTAAAAATACGTAGTCCAGATACCATATTTATTTGTAGATATAATTTATCTTTTTTTTCTTCAATTTTTTTGGCTGTTCAAATTACCTAGATGACCTGAGTGTAAGAAATTTCTTTGACCCATGAATTTGTGGTTCAGAGAAAAATTTTGAATCCTTCCAAAGATGTGTGATTACAGTACAACACAATTACAGTTGTATTTTATCAAATAAAGTAGATGAAAATGGGAAATATGTGGGGAAAAAAAAAGTCTTCACAGAAATCCATCAATATTTTCAAATAAGTAAATTTTACATGACAGATTACCCCTAATGGCAGGGGCAGGACTTGATATCCCTTCTGAGAAACCCTGAAAGACTTTTAACATATTGACATGGAACTCTAATAGCTTGAAGATCAGCAGTGCTAATCTAGCCTAGTGGCACTAGTTCAAACATTTTAGATGCTCAGGTGTCCCCTAAAACCTAAAAATGCTAAGAGAATTTTCAAAGATAACCCTATTATCCAGGAATATCCCAGCCATTGCTCACAGGAGAGTGATAACAACTTGATTCATACCTAAAGAAATGAGCAGATGGGTTCTTTTCTCTTAATATACAAACATCAGTGAGATAAGCAAGAATAAAGTCAACAGAATTATGTGCCAGCTACGCCAAAACATAAAGAAATCACGCCATGTGTAGGATTCCTGTCTTTGGACACATATTAATTCAAATTTTAGTTTTCTTTACTAGATTCCAAGGTACATATAGATAAAAGACATCAGAAATATGATCTCTGCTGCCACTAGATTTCTGCTTATTTGCTAAGTTAGTAATTCAACAAGTGTGCAGTCTGTCATTAATTGCTACCACCCAGAAGAAATTTTCCCCCAGGATTCATTAACTAATGACTTCTTCCCTTGCTGTTGTAAATTTACAAAATGCTTTGACAAACTAATAATTTGCCCTCTTGGAAACCAGATGTAAATATCCCAAACAGGTGGGAACCATTACTACAAACACATGAATGTAATAAATTTAGGAATTGCATGTATTTGTGGGTCCTACAAGTCATTCTCCTGATAAACTTCAAAGTATCCACTCAAGTCATACTGAGGTGAGAAGTAGATTTTCTTTCAAGAACCAAGAAATTAGTTTAATAAATTAATTATTAGTTTTGCAAGATTCTTAGCCACTCAGGCTTTAGGGTTTTTAGCACAGTAGCAGTACATTTAGTACCACAGAATGGATCTTTCAACAGCCAGGGTGCGCTCACCTGCAACTACACTCCTAATCCATAAGGAAAGGTGTTGGGATGCTTTAGCATATGTCTAAGAGTGAGCTGCTTTCCTGCAACATAGGTGTGTGACTAACACATGAGAGTCATCCTTCCAAATTTCAGCTACTTGGTAGCAGCCTGAAGTTCTGCCTCTCAAACTCTACTCAAAAGTTGCAGTACCTGCTCTCTGTCATCTTCTAAGTACAATCTGGAGGGTGTGAGATAAGACTAATTTCTAGACTTTAATATGACAAGGGATTATGTGCTACCAATGTCCATGGTTACTTTGGACTGAAAGGAAGCTTGGAGATATTAGCTCTACATTACTTTTTTCAAAATTGCTTTTCTACTGAAGTGTTTTCAAAGGCATTTTGAAGGTTCTGTTTGTATATTTGGAGTCATAATAAATGGAGTGTTTTGCCACAGAAAAAATTGGCAAGTTTGGAGTGTTTTGCCACAGAAAAAAAGTCATTGTGGGCTAATTAGATACTGCACAAACTGTTCTGCAGTAACTGCAGCAGACATGAACTTGTTAACCTAGGCAGCAGAGTACCTGAAGAAAGCTTAGTTTTCTGTGAATGACAGGACAGCTCCCTCAGCATGGGACACCACAGGACAAAAGCACTGACCTATGTTTCTGCCAGACTCTAGTTTTTGAACAATTATCTTAACAAATAAAAGAAAACCCAAGCATAAACAACATCGTTATAAAATCACGGAATTTTTTCAATCCTCCTGTTTCCTTGGACCAAAACAAGAAAGCTTATTACCCCAGTGATCAGAAGGCTCTTTTGACTCTATCTATTGAAATGACAATACATCATGCTATCTGATCATATCTGCAGCTCTAAAATGTGAGGAGACAGATTATTTGTTTACTTCGAATATCTCTATCCAAGTAATGGCATCAACTGCATGGTCATAGCTTTTGCCTATTCCAGTGTATTGCTTCAAATGCTCAAAAGACTGAAAAAAATTGATGATGATAATGTTTGATTGTAAACTAATTTGCAGCCTATTTGTTCTCTGGCCAGATGTGCCAAATTCCTGTTGTCATCCTTGGAAGAACATGGGAGGAAAAACAGCAAGAAGGAACCCTCTGTGCAGCTCTTCACTTTCTCTAAGTTTTGGATCCATGCCAGTCTGTTTTGGGCACAGCATTCTGTAACCCAGCGGGAAAGTCCCTCAAGCATCATTGTTATCAAGTGGCACATGGAGCTCCTTAACCATTCTGGCACAGGATGAGGATCACAGCTGGGATCACAGGGAGCACACAGCCCACCAGGTCCCATGCACAGCCCAGAGCTCTTGAGCAGCTGGTGCTGGCAGTGCAGTGAAGGCTGCAGTTACTTTTGGGACCCAAAAGTAACTAGGGGCAAAGCTTCCCACTGCCCATATAACACTTCAGTAATTCCAGAGAAATGGACTCAGGGGGGTAGGATTTAGGTACCATATCCTTTTAGAGCCTGGTCTTATACCAATAATCCATTTATTTTTCATTTTCCATAAACCAGGGGGACTCCAGTAGAGAAATGTATATAGTAAATGTTGTATGCTATTATTACTGGAAAAACTCTTTTCTTTTAAAGAGGTTGTACTACACAGGGAATACCTCAGCTTTCCTCCTTGGAATATAGCTTCTAAATAAATATATAAAATAAAGAAGCCCAAAGCCTGCATCAAAACTCTACCCACATGGACAGAAAATTTGAACTCACTCTCCAGAAAGTAGAGACCTATAACTGCAGAACATGTAGCAGTCTTTCTTTATTAGACCCAGTCAGCCACCCACTGGCTTTAAACTCAGGCCAGCACATATCTTCCCTGTCAAGCAGCTGTTTTGCTCACACACTAAGTCCTGAGGCTTTACCCACCTGTAAGCTCCTAGTGACAAGAACCTCCCTATTTTTATATGTTTACACAGCATCACTATGAAGTTCACAGAAAGATCTGTAAGATGCTATCATGGTATCAATCATAAGTAACAGAGGATCAGTAAAAGCATATTATCCAAGCCAGCTGCAAGGAACTTTAATTATGTAAGGTTAATACTTTACCTTTTACCTCTCTGTCTTCCAAGTAACACCCTGGCAGTCAGAAAAACTTTTCACATGCAAGTCAATTAAAAACTCAGAGGTCACGCCATTTGGGCTGAAAGTTGATTTTCAGTAAGGTAAATTGAACCACACTGAAAAACTCACAAACAGAATAAAGGCTGTAAAAAAAAAAATCCTTTTCTGTGTGGTGTACATTGTGATAAAGCTGTGGCTTAGCTCGTTTTAAAAGGCTCATTAAACATGAAAGTTCACTGATGAGTTTGCCAGAGAAGTCAGGTGAAATACCCCAAGCCTCCAGACAAAAATATTTCCTCTGAACCTTTGAGAAAAATAATTTTTTCCAACAAAAACCCCTTTAAGTGGTCTGATACTTGGTGTGAAAATAGCTAACAACATCCATTGACAGTGATCCCCTCCCTGAGACCTGCCACTACTCCAGGATGTTACTGTAATAAAGAGGAGAAAACACAGGCAAAAATCCACAAACCCGAACATCTCAGAAGGCAGGTATTTTCCCAGCTCAGACTCCTGAGATGACAGGGAGAATTCAGAAGCAGGGGTGTCGGAGCAGGCATCGCAGTCAGAGATGGCTCATAGCACACTGCCACTGATCCTGACACAGGGCTCCAAATGAAAATCAAAGAAATACATCTCTTTTCAAAACAAAGAAAGAGGGAGAAGAAAGAATCTCATTCTCTGAGTACCTTTGATTCCTGGCTGGTAGTTGATGCTGGAGAGGGGGGCTGCTCTGTGCTCTCCACTTCATTCTCTTTCTCCACACTCTCCACGCTGACTTCAGTCTTGCTGCTCGGAGGAATCATTTTACCTCTAAAACACTGCTACTATCAGGGAAAAAAAGCTACAGATGGTTCTTGCTTTTTTATATTTAACGTCCTCTCTCTTCGCTGCTCCTCTAGAGCAAATGAACTCCGACCGCTTGGTTTCACTGTATTTGCCAGATGAGAATTCTCTGGATTTTCTTTTTCTCCCTTCCCTTCTCCTCCTTCCTCCCTCTCCTTTCCTATGCAATTGTGCTGCGAGGGAGTAAGTTATCGATGGTTCTGTAGGTCAATTGTGTGCCTGCTTTTCCCTGATACTCCTCCCTCTCCATATGAAGCCTGGAGGTGTGGAGCAGCGTCGTGACCGCCAGCCCCATAGAGGAGAATGAGCTGAAGCAGCAAGCCCGAGCCGCGCGCGCGCGCACACAGACACACACAGACACAGGCACAAACAGACACACAGACATACAGACACAGACACAGACACACAGGCACAGACACACACACACACAGACACACAAACGCACAGACACACACAGACACAGGCACACACCACACAGACACGAACATACACAGACACACAAACACGGACATACACAGACACGGACACACAGACACGGACATACACAGACACGGACACACACACACAGACACACACACAGACGCACACACATGGTACTGGAGGGAGGAGTTGTATTTCTAATGCTGTGAATAGCTCTGGAGAAGTATGTGCTGTCATAATAGGGAAAGTAAGTAACACTCGCACACACACACAGAGGCAGGCAATGTATATGAGATTTGGAAGCATTTTACCTTTTAACAGACTGAGAAGACAGAGTTGAAGGCTACCCTTATATTCTTTCATGTCTTTCACTGAAAAAAAGAATCCAGCAAAAGGGCTCTAGAAAAAGAGGAGAAAAATGACTCTTTTTCCTTGTCCCAGAGAAGATTGTTTAAAATCCTAGCTACTCAGTGTCTCTAAGGCTCCCACCTTGCCCACATCCCAAACTTGCTAGCAAATGACAGGACAGAGTCAGGGGAGAGTTACCTGTGGATCCATGTGTTCCTTGCTCCCCTCCCAGGCAGGGAAGCCCAGCTCTGAGCCATGCACACGCAATCTGGGTCATCTGGAGCTCCCACTATCATGCACATACTACACCTATAGGTTGTCATAGTGATAACACTCCATCAGGCAGCAGCAGAGCAGAAGCAGCCATTGGGAAGAGTCTGTTGGTTTCCCCCAGTGCCGTCTTTCCTGAGGATGCAGCACCTGAAGTCATACTTGGGTCTGCAGTACTACCAGCAGAAAGTCAGCACAACTTTGCTGTCTGGCTCAGATTGCTTTATATTGCTAGAGGTTTTGCCTCTGATTTAAATCTGCTGCAAAGGTGCCTGTCAGCTTTCTTCCCTGGTGAATTAGGGTCTGTATTGTGAAAGGCTGAATGGATGTGCTTCCCACCAGATACACTTCGCTGAGCAGGAGCCACTCTATATGGCTGGTGGAGATGACTCTTTCATGTCAAGAAAATAGAAAAAAGGAACCCAAATATATTTATAATAGCAATACTTACATCCTGGAAAGTGAGAAGAAAAAGAAGTAGTTGTTTAGTGAATCTATGCAGGTGTTTGGAGGTGATTTGATGGGGTCTAAGTCAGATATGATCTTTAGTACGTTGTAGCTCTGGGAGAGAACACCAGATTCCCCTCTGGCTCCATCCCTTAGAAACACAATTACTACTTGGAGCTGCCTTGCAGGCCCCCTTCACCTCAAATAATCAGTGTGTGAAAGTGAAAGCAAGTTTACAAGATAATAGGGGTTATACAGATGAAAGCCAGAGCAGAAATTGTCCTGCAGCCTCTGTATTCTTAATAAGTATGCAGAAGACGGAAATAAAAAAAATCAGCTTCTCTTTGAATCACCAGTGAATCTTCAGGACTAGAACTTAGATGGGGAAAAGATCTTTATGTTTTTGAAACAGAGCATGTAAGATACCAAAATCCTTAGCAGACAATAAAAATGAAATGCTGCAATGCTATTTGTTTGTACAGCTACTTCAGAGCAAAAGAGTGTCTTAAGGGTCTGCCAGTAGAACCTATTATTTGGCCTGTAGTCACTAACACGACTACAAGGATCAAAATGAGTACACTGTTTCCTCTTCAGGCAGTGGCAGTGACAACTGAGCTTGAAGGAAATACAGAGCTCAGAGTGGCAGATTTGGCAGGTAAGTAGAAGAATTTATTTCCAAGGGCTTGCTTTCTAAAACGCAGCAGTGTCTTAGACCATTCCATTCAGTGCTGGAGGAATTCTCTACATGCGAAGATAATTTCTTCAACCAGCAAGTAAGATTTTGCCTTTGCTGTAAAATCATCCTCTTAGCAATGAGCAGCGACTTGTCAGAGCCACAGTTTTGCAGAATTAGGGCAGCTGTGGGCAATGGAGATCTTGGCAGGGCAACAGAAATTGAATACTCCAGCTCTGGCATCCTTCCCTGATGGTCCAGCCTAGAACAGCCAAGCCATGGCCTGCCCCCTGCAAGGACTGTTCTGTGAGCTCAGCAGCCTGACAGGTGAGAATCATAAAACTAAATTCTGCCTGATTCCCCACAAGGCTTGTCATCTGGTCTTTCCTGTTAAGAGGCTCAAAAACATGGTGAACTTGCAGGTTACCTTTGAAATGGATGTGGAGTGGCTTGTTAATAGTTAATTCTCTATATGTTGTAAAATCCTGCACACATGTTGTATGAAGAGCTTGTAGTGTCATGATTGTGCGACTATCATACCACTCTTTAATTGTTTTACCAAATTAGTACTAACACCTCCTGCACTCGTCCCAATTACTCACTTGTCAGCCAGGATAGATTTGTCAGTTTCTTGACAATTAGCTTGGGAAAGATGAATAAAACATAAAGTTTTACCAAAAAAGCAAAAAGGAAAAGAAATTGGATTTGTTAAATTTTTATTTCCTTCCACAGGAGCTGGCTGTTGAAGATCTAATACACAGTATAACAAAACAGACTGATCAAGTTAGATGAACCTACATCTCTAACCCACGCTTCACTCCTGAGAAGTTGCACTTGTGATTACTGCTGATCAGTCTCTACAGGAAGGTATGCAGAGGAAATGGGAGCACTGCAGCACAGTGCTAAACAAGAGGAAATTGAACAGCTTCTGTAGATTTCTGGAGTGGGGAAAAGCAATTTGGATGAATAAAACATGAGCGCCAATTCCCAGCCCCCAGCTGAAGTTGTTTCCCTGTGTAAAGGCTGTTGTGTGTTGCCTGGAGTCCCTGCCAACCATTCCTCTTCTGGAGATCTGATGTTGGCTGTGTGGGTGCTATGTCTTGTCTGCCTTCCTTCACTCCCAAGCTCTGGTCCCACACACAAAGGTGACAGGGTGTGGTGCCCCCTCCGCGCTGGGGCTCCTGTAGTTCTTCCTAAACTCTGGCTGAAGCCAGCCTGATAAGAACATCCCCGAGGCTCCCGACTCCAGGAATATATAAATACACACTTGCTGTACTGCCAAGTCCTACCTGCTGGAGACCTTCACAGTGGCTGGTGGGAGTAAGAGAGTAAGCTGGTGGGATCTGGCCCATGTCATAGATTTTGCTTCCCTTTTTTTGGCTTTTTCAGTATGGACATTCCTTTGAAATATTTGAGCACTTCTGCCAATGATATACATGCACAGGGCTCCATTTCACTAAAGGAATGATAAGAAATCAGTACTTATCAAATATTTTATTTCTGTTAGGCTCCTGTGTTAGTAGAGAAAAAATAAGGAAAGAGGGCAATATAATTTTCAATATTCAGAGCTTGGTGCATAAATCATCCCATGCTTCTGGAGCAAAGAGGTTCTAAGGGAGCATATAGAGATGATATTGCTTGTAGATGACACTGGTTTAAATTACTAGAAGTGTACAAAGCAGTGAGGAATCAGTCTGGTTCCTGCAGTCTGGATTCCTCTAAAGCAGACTCTTGAAGGAAAACAAATCAAGTCCACTGAGTCCAACTCCAAGAGGATGCAGACTGAGAGCCACAGAAAACCACTAGACACACAAAAAAATGTTGTTGTAGTAGCACTTGTAGTGAAACTTGATCAGCCTCACCCCAAGTCCCTCAGTCCAATTTGTGAGTACTCCAGGTGAGAAATAGTTCTGTTTCTTTGTCGAATAGATTTTGTCATTGTGGAAACTGGCAACAGGGTACCTTGTGCCATCTGTGATGAGAATTTTACTTTTGGCATGGTGCTTTTGCCCAGATGTACTGGTCGATATCTTCACTGGACTCTTCTCTCAAATATCTGCTTCACCCACAGCTGGCTACTTGACTGCAAGGACCATTGCTCAGAGTATCTTTCTGTGTTTCCAAGTGACAGGCTGGTGGGCTCTTCTCTCCAGCAAACATTGTACCCACAGAGAAAACAAGATTAAAATAGTACAATGAGGCTGGGTTTTTTTGTTTATAATCACCCACCCCTTGGTTGCTTACTAGAAAATCTTGGCAGTTCACTGAGCAGCTAATATACTAACAAACCCCTGTGGATTCCTGCTTATCTAAATGCCATCTGAGGGCTACAATCATCAGCTCATCAAGCTGGAAGCAAAAGCTGGTCGATGCCCTGAAAACATCCCCAGTACTAATGGAACACTGGTGGCTTGCATTTTGACTAAATCATCTCAAAGTATTTTTTAGAGGTAAAGTATTAAGCCTTCCACTGCTCCAGGGAGTTTAGCGAATGAGTAACTGGAGGAAGCCAAACCAACAGATTTCTACTTGTACTTAAGCAGGAAAAAAACTGGAACCTTTGCCTGAGCATTAATTTCAAAGCCCTCTTTCTCTTCATCCACAACAATGCCACAGGGAGTGATGCACAGATCACACTGCATCTTCGGCAACTTGAATATATCTTTTAGGGAGGTCGCAATGAGATTGAAACACTGCTACATAGACATCTAGACCGGGAAAATGAAGAGTGCTGCATCCTCTTGTGAAAGTGAGAAATATTTGAGAAGGGGAAAAGAGGATTTAATTATAAAAGATGGAATTTAGCCAAGATACAGCATGTAATATGTTCAGTCCTACAAAAAGCATGGCAGTATCTTTAAATAACCAGAGACAGTCCCAACCTGATTTTACATCTCTGCTGGCAATAATTCCTTCTCACTTTTTATAGGAATGTGATATAAAAAGA